TAAAGCAATAATCTAATGACCTCATTTTTTTAGAAGTAAACTGATAGTGAGAATATTTACTTACACAAATTAGTAAGAAAAATTAAAGTGCCCAGCTCGTGTCTGTTATGCAGGGATGCTGATTTATCGTTGCTCTAAGTAGCAGTAACTAAAACAGATGTAATGCAGTGGTTAAAACATATCACTACTGTTGTAGGCAAACCTCAGGAAGCTGAGCATCAGTTTTTATTAAGAACCAGTGCAATATTTAGACTAATGCCATAGGCAAAATACACAGCACTTCTCTTTAGCTCACATAGCAATACAGCACCTATTTCAGAGTTGCTAAACTTCACTTTCTTTCTTTTGAGTACGTTATGTAAAAGGATCTCACTCATTACTGATATGGAAGAAATTCTTTTTCCTGCAGAATTGTTTCAAAACTTTGCTACTGCCCATTGCGGCAAGAGCATAATCGAGAAGCACCCTGATTCAGAAGTGATATTGTTTTCTCTGCCTGCTGCATCCCACTTCCCATGTGTGTTTTGTCTATTAATATATTAGTACTAGGCTGTACCTAAAAATGTCATCCACTGACAGCAAATGTTGTCCATTTTGCTGTGCAATTTGAAAGAATCAGAACTTCCTGGTACCGGTAATTCAAATTATCCCGCTCTTATTAAAATTAATTGTCCAGCATTTGTTGAGCTTAATGGATTCAGGAGCAGATCCTAATTGACAGAGCATTCGCTCTCAGTGTACAAATTTGAGCTACAGCAAACAACACTCCAGTTTCTCATAACCGTTACCAATTTTAGATGTAGTTTTACTTTTCCATTCTTCTCTATTATGCTCTATCAATGATGCATTGTGTATGCTTTGGGAGTTAATCATAGGAAGATATATACTTCAACATAAGGTTCCTCTGTCATTGATTTCTATATTAGTACATATTATTGTAAGTATAAGTTTGTTCTAAGTTTGATAGTTTTAAGTTCTGGCACCTGACAATTTTACAAAAACCTTTTAAAATTACCACAATCAGAAATACTTCATTGTGTTCAGCAAAAAAAAAATCTGTCTCTTAATTTACTGATTAAGTTAGCTTAGTGATCAAGTTACCCTGATTTTTCTCTGTTATCATTATGAATTTACGTACACCATACTAGTAGGAGATGTTTCTTTACAACGCTTGTACCACTCTGCCGTTGTTCTCGACGAGCCCTTAGAGCTCTGGGGACTGTAGGACTTTCCCAAAGGTGAGAATTAATTAACAACTGCTGTTCTACGCTCATGACCAGCTCCCTTTGAAGGCTGATTTTGTGAGCAGGAATTTTAAATACAGCAATACCTAGGATAGGCCTAAAAGTAAATTAATCTGTAGAGAGTTAGCATTGAGAGAACTCTAGCTTGTCTTTAAGACTTTTTTTTTGCTTTACAGTCCATCTAAATATTAATTTCTGTAAACTACAGCCACAGTATTCGGTTTTTAATGATTAAATATAGCATTGAAAGCACACAATGGAAAACTGCAGGCTGATGACCTACAGACAAATGTAAGAAGAAGAAGAGATGGCACATCTGCATTCCTGATTCTTTCCGTAAGCTGCACTATTGTTTTAGCTACTGTGTTGGCACAATTTTTTCAAGCTGAGACAGAATTTAGACCATAGCTAATCTGTGGTCATAACAAAATGAATGCAGAATGGGAAAAGATTTTCTTCCTTTGCAACATAATTGTGGTTGTGTAAAATTTTGCCTTCCACTGAACCCAAAGGCAGCACTCACTTTCCTTTCAAACTTTTCTACCAAACCTTCTTAGCAGTCATACTAGAAGCCACAGATTTTTTAGTTCATTTCCATATTTTCTGCCATCAAATCTGAATATTTAGCCAAGAGATTACAAAATACTCCCATATGCAGTGTCTTGAATGCAGTGATTGTTTATGTTCATGTCAATCTGACCAGAATTTATTTAGTGAGGTAGGAAAAGAGCAAATATATATCCATGTTTTGTTTTGCTTTTCTAACCTATTTTAAATCTCTGTTTGACAGCCTTTATTTCAGTAGCCTGCTGCTTTTATGCCTAAATGCATTCCACTGAGCTATTGTGTTCATTTATCACATTCTAGTACAGTTTGTTCAGGAGATAGAGCTCACAGGGTCCTGTAAAATGTTCAGAATTGATTTTGGAGGGGAATACAGAATTCAGGAGATCTACTCCAAAAGGGCCAAGCATTAAACAAATCAATTTGACAAAACTTTCCTCCAGTCCATCACAAATATCTGCTGTTTTGAAAAATTTGACACACACACACACACATGGGAAATAATCAGAAGGTACTTTTCCTTACAAATGGAAATAGTCATAAGATACAAAAACACAAATTATTAACCACTAAGCTAGGAGCATTCATCCTAGACAAATTATTCCCTGCTGAAAAATTTATGGGCCTCTTGAAGGAACATCTGTCCAGATAAAGGAATAAAAATCTTCTCAGGAGAAAGTAGACATGTGTGTCCTTAGGAATACTTTCCTCTAAAATTAGGGTGTTAGGGACCACAATTTAATCTGTATTCTGTGTGAAGTGCTAATCCTGTCCATTGTAACTGATGCTAATTCTGGCTACTTTATAATCCATTTTTCCAGAAGACTTTATATATTCTATAGAGCTTAATTTTGCTCACATATAAAGTTTATGAGTTCAACTGGGTTCACTATTAAGATATCTAAACTCCTACTCAATCTCTCAAAGTATAAGTGAAGTTTGATTCCAGCTGTTATTTGATCATGTTAAGAAGTGATTGTGTGATTTTTATTTACACCTGGAGATGAGGATCTGCATGGACTTCAAGTATTTTGTGTCCTGGTTACAAATACAGTAATCAATAGAAATATTCTAATTTAGGAGGTTTTTTTTCAGTATATTATTTTCTTAAGTTCTTACCTGTTTTAGTGAAATTGTCAATATATGTTGTTATTTTTCATGCTACCGCTGAGGATAGAAACAGGAAAAACCATAACGTACTTCTGTGCATATTATCTGTTTATAGAAGAAGAGAGACTCCTTGATTATAGGTATTACACAGTTGAGGCAATTTTACTCATGTCTCTGAAGTAGATGTACAAAATTTCATTTCTTTTTCTTCCTTTTGTTTTTAAACAAGAGTTTGATTTTGTATTAAATAGAAAAGAAAGGTAAAGTTTGAAAGCTGGAAACTTCATGAATTTTAAAAAATGAAAAATATAGTAGTGTTCTTGTATCTGGCTGTATATTACAGTAGTGTGCATGTGTTTGTTACCATAGGATTTTTACCAGGTAAAAATTGATTTGAAGAGTGATGTAAAAATTTTCAAAAGTTCAGCTCACGGTCAGCCCAAAGTATTTAGGGATTTTAGGCTTAATCTGTCAAACACTGAATGCCCTACCAAACGAAACAATGTGCAATAGTCAAAATGTTTTATTTCACTGTTTTCTGGAAAAGAACAATTTCATCTTTCTATTTGCTGCAACATTTTGTTTATTTTTTTTTCAAATTAAAAAAAAGATATTTTAAAAGTTCAGTAAAAGGCAAATTTCTAGCTAAGGAATAGTAAAAATCCTAAGTCTTTGAATCAAACATCACTTATTTTACGTCAAGAAAAAAATAAAATACTTTTTTTGGTTTATCTGCCAAACTTGCAAAATCTCTTATTTATGTAATTCTATTAAGTCCCTGTTCAATGTCCAAAGTGTTAAATGAGGCAATGATACGGGGCGAGCAAATCAGAAGTTCACAGTATTCACATATTAGTTACTGTTCATTTCAGTAAATGGTTGGCAGTGTAGAATGTAGATGGGACAGTCTGAGCCATAAACTAAAGAACTACAAGCTGCTCTGTCATTCAGTGTCTGTAGTCTATATAAGCCTTAACTAAAGAGTCAATGTGCTGTAAACTCCACATACAGGATCCTCATACATGGGCAGAAGCATCTGTATTGGGTAGGTACTTTCCTCAATGTTGAGTGTCTGATATTTTGTAGCAGATATTTTCAGTTGTGATATTGCAAAAATATTTGCAAAAACTTCCCATGCACAACACAGCAGTGTTGCCTTCCTCACTGGCCAGGGATCATTCCACTTATCATAAACACCCATCTTGTATCAAAATGCCTATCCGAGACATTTTCTTAGTAAATGATCATGTTTCCCAGCTAGCTGGTGAAAGGAGGTAGCCACCTCCATATGCATATGGTGTCCCCATGGAGATCTTTAGAATCTAAATAGGAAACACTGGTATTTTCAGATGGCTGCTTCATTAAACCATTGGACCATTAAAATCAGGTAGAAGTTAAGCACTTACTTTGGAAGCAGTGAATCATACCCACCACTTCTGTTTTTATTTTTGTCACAAGGATCGACAAGGTTGACTAATTGTACCTGCCATTTCATGGTCTTAGGTCCTTTCAGTTTTGACAAAGAACAGAAATAATGAACAAAAAAGCAGCATGTGCCAGGACAGGCACATGCTTAGAGCTGCCCTTATCTCTCCTAGAGCAAGGTCGTATCTACGCAATGTAGGCAAACGTGAACGCAGTTCAAGGTAGCTACACTAAGTGAGCCCTGCAGTGCCTGATACATTGCAAAACTGCTCAGCTGAGTAAATACTGAAGTTGTAGTAAGTTTAATGGTGAGCTCTGGAGTACCACAGTTCTTTAAAGCAAGTTCTGGGCTGGTTCAGGTGTGTCTGTACTGAACTCGGGCCATGGTGTTCGTGTATCCCCCTGGGTGTATGTGGCTGCAATACCAAAATTTCCACATTGCGCAATAGTTTTTTTTCTTTCTGGCTATTTCATCATTTACAGGGATCGTCAACTAGATATATGCGTATATCAGGACTTTAAATCTTACCTCATTGTACATAAGTGATTGAAAGAAAAAGATAATTGCACATAAAAATGGCAAGTTTCACTTTAACAGTGTGATAGTCTTTTTTATATATTTAAGTCTCATTCTGACCCCTGCCATTTTTTGTGACAGATCTTCTGCGGTGGCCACAAATCAGCAAGTGCAGATCACCTGAACTGGAGACATTTTCATGTTATTGGACTGATGGAAATTTTTATAATCTAACTGCTCCAGGAACAATACAGCTATTGTATATGAAAAGGTAAATAAAATGGAAAAAGAAAGGAAGTAGTCATTCGTTTAGATATGCCTCTTATTGCATTGCTTTCTTGCTATGATATGAACCATACTGTTTTTAAGGGCATAAAATTGTTTTTTAAATGCTAATTTTTCAATGTTACAATTCTTTGTTAATTATGAAGTCTCCTGTAGTAACCAGTGTTACTTGGAGAAAATTAAGAAAACTTTCTTAATAAATATGGATCTGTGTTGCAGAATACAAATTTGAACACTGTATGGCTTAGGAAGGGAGTTTTAGTATGGATCTCCAGTTTATTTCTTATTGACCTAACATGTAGCTGTGAGATTCATTATGTCTCTGCCTTATGTAGGTGGATTTTGGATCCAAGCCCTTCTCAAATTTTTCTTTTAAGTTTTATGTAAGCCTCATTGATCAAATGCTAGTTTAAATTCTGAATGTGTATATCCAGGAGACATGCTTTGAGACTGGGGTTTATGTTTTATTGGGTCTTTTTGAATTAAATAGCTTAGATTCACATTTTACTAAAACATCTGTAATTTTCAGATGTTAAAGTGAGTAGCCTGAAAGAGGACATACACATTGCTAGTACTAGCTGAGGGGAATTTATGTTCCAAATAATGTACTGGTGTTCACATACCTTCCTAAACTTTCCACTAGAGATGATACATTTGCTTAACAAACTTAAGCTTAATGGCAAGGCTTGCTTTCTTAGTTACTTTTCCTGGGCCTCTCAGAAATACAGATATTCAAGGTAAAAACAATATTTTGGTGTAAATGATTAGCTGGCAGTTGTCAGCAGCTGTTGCACCTTGTGAAGAAACAGACTCAGTCTGGGGTGCAGAGTGAGACAACTTTATTTTCAAACCAACCTCTTTTTATACTTTCTTAACACAAGTGTTGCAAACTTACAACCAATCAGCATCTTGCCACCTGTGCGGTTGTCCTGGCTTTGTTTCTTTTCTTCTGACAAGACACTCCTCACAGGGGGCAGGGGGAGGTGTTTTGCAGTTCTCCTCCTTTTTCCCCTCTGTCCCCCATCTGCTGAGAAGACTGACATCCTTGCGGTTAACTCTCTGCTAACAAGGTACTATTGTCTTTGAAGGAGCCTCCACAAGCAGCAAGCACCAAGAGAGTGCAAACTTTAAAAATTAATTCAGCTGCAATAAGCAGTGCCACATAGTATGAACAGATCGGGTATTTCATCTTTGCCCCAGACATAAGTATACTGTGATAAAAGGTGTGAACTGAACATCCACTTTGAAAATGTTTCTGTTTTAATGTGTAAACATCATTTAAGGCTCAGGACACAACTGTATCCTGTAACTGAGTATCAAACATAGCACAGGCCATATTATCTCATTACACCTTCATCAGGTGCTGGCTTTGGCAGAGCTGCAGCATTTCTTTTAGAGAAGTGTCCAGCCTCATTGGATGAGAGCAAAACCCATGCCTAGTGGCATGAAAGCTCTTTCCTCAGGTTATGTAGCATTTACATTTCAAATTTTGGTTCTTAAACAGCCACTCAAGTACTGAAGGCTCCATTTGGCATAACTCTGTTTCAACCTCATCCTCTCATGTAGCTTGAGTGGCTCTTAGTAGGAAAAGACATTTTTGTTACACTTTTTAAAGAACAAGACTGTTATTTCTCCAGCAAGAATCTGACAGTATGTTTGTAAAGATTCAGTCTGTTTAGTGTGAGAGTAGTGTTAGAGATGAACAACAGTAACGGCAGGACTATTCACAGTGAGGTTTGTTTTTCTAAAGTGATTTTAGAAACATGAGTAAACATCTGTCACTTTTCCTGTAGTATATTTCTAACAATCTGGTCCTTCCCATTTTGCTTTAATGGAAGACACTTTGGGGTTTGGACCTGCTAGATAGTCTCAGCTCAGCCATATGAAAATGCCAGTATATAGAGAGTAGCAGTGTTTCTCGATGTGAGGATGCCAACCACTCTTTATGACTCTGCAAGGTTCTCTCCTTGAAGAGGTGAAATGATTCATATGAATATGATATTCCTGTCGCAGTGTTTTAATTTGCAAATAATGTGAGTTTCTGAAAAAAGAGTGGAAAAAACACAAACAGTTTCTTCACTAGTAGTTCCAAGCCTGTGTCTTAGAAGTCCGATATCGCCGGTATTTCTCTTCCCTGGCATGGGTTTGTGCTGGGCCTCTGGCAGCGCTCGCCCTCAGGCGCGTGTCCGTGTGAGTCATCAGAGCCACCCAAACCATGGAAATGCCACCTAGAGTACATGAGAACCTAGGCACATTTATGCAGGTAGCTTGGATAATGGTTTGGCATCTCTGTAAATCACAATAAATATTGACATACATTTCTCAGTTCCATACAAGTTGTGACTTACCAACAGTGTGTCTTGCAACATCTATAATTTGTATCTTATGAAATCTGTAAATCTCTCATTTATATTATGTTTCTATTGTCATTCTAGGAATGATGAAGACTGGAAAGAATGTCCTGATTATATCACCGCAGGAGAAAAGAGCTGTTATTTCAACACGTCTTACACCTCTATTTGGATACCATATTGTGTTAAGCTTGCCAATAAAGATGAAGTATTTGATGAAAAATGTTTCAGTGTTGATGAAATAGGTATGCTTCCATTTTGCATTTTAACTCTATATTTTTTTACCACAATAGGTATGGTTCTATAAGCTTTCTTATTGTTCATGCTTCCCTCATGAGAAGGTTAGCTTTAAAAAATATAATATATAGAAAAGGATTTGATTTTGTAACATATGTAATGTGAGCCACACCAGAAAGTATTACCTAGGGTGATAGAATGCTACAAGGATAGAAGTAAATTTGTAGTTTCTCTTTATGAAAACCAGTGGTCACTCAAATATATGCAATGTGCGCAGATGAGTTTGCCTTTGCTGCCATTCCCGGCACTTCCTAATGGATGCTGCTCACCCTGTTCTCTGTGAGCAACGAAGGTGTCACCAAATCTTGATTCTGCAAAGTTCTGGAACCAAATAAGTTTTTTGTTTTGTTTTGTTTTGTTCTGTTTTGTTTTCCCAAATCAGCACTAGTTTGCAGAATCAGCATGCCTAGCACTTCTAAGATAGAGCTTATATTTGTTGCCATATGAATTGTGGCTGTACTTTGACTTTCTGGATGTTACTATTTGTTCAGATCAGTGATATACACACCTGCAATTACCACATTATTCCTGCAAGGAATATTTTTATTCATAATCAGAACTTTAACAGTTTTATTTTTTGATGGATAATTGATTATGTCTCAGTGGTTTATAAGCTATTAGAAAATAAGGTGCAATATATTCTTAGTCTTTATTAGTAATTTGAATAAGATTTTCACCGAGCATGTCTGCCTCCAATGGCAGGATGCTCTCTTATTATTAAGCTTTTAGTTACTTTGTCATTAATTCATAGGATTAGATACTAATCAGCATATTTGTGATTAAGATGCTTTTTAAGTCCTGAAATCATTTAGCAGTGTGTAGCAAGAATGGTCATTTCACATTGAAAAATGGCTGTTTTATTCCAAATACTCTGTTTAAACAGTACTACCTGATCCCCCTGTCCACCTTAACTGGACTCTGCTAAATACTAGTCAGACTGGGATCCATGGGGATATCCAAGTAAGATGGGATCCGCCACCAACAGCAGATGTTCAGAAGGGATGGATTACTCTGGAGTATGAATTGCAGTACAAAGAAGTTAATGAGACAAAATGGAAGGAGGTATGAAGCAAATACTTGTTATGTAAAAGTAGTACAGTGCAGGCTTCTTCTGTCCCTAATTCTTTTGCACTATTCTGAAAAGTAACAGGTTTGTAATTGCTAAGTACTAAAGTACTTAAGTACTAAACAGTATACCTGTATTCTTCTGAAGTTTTCGGGCAAATATCTTAACTTTTCATGTCCAGATACTTAGCATACCAGTTAATAATAAGAGACCCTGAGATCCTTTTATTAGATTAGAAAGGATAGTAATAATCAGATATATGCAAGTTTTTCAAGGATAAAATATTTCTCTATCAGTTTCCTAAATCTCAGCTGTTTGAAACAGTGCAGCATCCTTTTAATAGTTGGAATAGATATTTTATTCTTGGAAAATGTCAGTGTCAGTCCAGATTTTCCAAGGCATCTGTAAAATTCTAGTATATATGGAAAAATTATATAAGAAGAAAATAATTATAATTTAATTTTTATAAATGCAACCAATGAAACATATATATATAAGACATAAAAGTTTCATACAAGAAAGCAATGTGAAAAATGTGTCTATAAAGATAGGACTTGAAAAAATGAAATGTTTATACTCCAACTCTTTTAAGTTTTCTTTTGAAGATCACTAACTTTTCATGAAGTTACTTTTCCTATTATGGGGAAAAAAAAATGTATCCAGCTTACCTGAATGTCTAGGCTAAATGTCAGTATGTTGCAGAATATTTGGCTATAGGGACTTCTTCCTAAACATCAGTTCAATGAAATAAGAACATGATTTCAGGGTAGAAAAGTAGAACCTTTCTTATATCATTTTATTAATAGGAATGAATTAACTGTCAGAAGGAATGCAGATAACACTCAAGAATTTGTCTTAATTTATAAAAGACAGATTTACCAAGTGAAATATTTGCAGTCAAGCTGATTTGTTGGCCTTATCTGTGGAAGGCCTTTGACCCCTTCTCACCTCCAACCCTTTTCAATGCTAACATTTTCTGTTTATTTCTTATTAGTAAGCCCATAGTCAAGCAAGGCCTATAATGTCTATAATTTTTCCTAACTTTTCCTTGTCTGAATTTCTTTCTATGTACTGACTTTGGCTGTATTTATTTACTGTGTACCATCTATATCTTAAAGCGTACTAATGGGTTAAGTTTAGGCAATAAACCAATACAGGAACAACTTGAAAGCCTGCAAGGTTTTGTATGAGACTTACAAAAGAAGATGGCAATGCAAATATCTTTTTAAAAATGCCAAGTCTAGATTTTTTTTATAAGCCTTTAGCTATCAATCATACAAATACACTAATAAATCTCTTTGCTAGATCCATTACCCTCAGTAATTCCAGTATGTCTTGAGAATAGTTCTTCTTGGGAGGGGCAAAGACTTGAAGTTCAATCTTTCTTCTTTCAGAAAACCATTAAGGAATTGCTGAATGCACTACTTGCCTCAAGAAATAGTATCCCAGATGATTGTGTTCTACTGGGACTGTATTGTGTATTATCCTGCCTTTCAGCCTACTCAGCATGGCGTAATTCCTTGCAAAACTATCAATTAGAACACAGGAGTGAAATTTCTAGACAAAATTTTGGTCTGGACTAAGACAATAGCAAAAGGCAAAAGTAGAGCTGTGATTTCACACTTTGCATTCCTTTCTGCAGATATATTGTAAAACAAATGTTGAGACACTAAAGAGATACTATTGATGGATGTATGGAGTTACTATATGATGGATGGAAAGTTACATTTTCGAGTTCTAATTTATTAGTTTTATACACAAAGGATGATCTCTGGCTACTTACATTTGACATAAATCTTTCTACATGTAATTGATACAAAGATGAATTTATGGTACTTACCAAATCAGACTGACTTGTAATTTTATTTTAGGGTCTTTGAGGGATGAGCCTATTTGTTTTTTCATGTATATTGTACCTTCTTCTTTCAGTCCATTTGATAACTGAAAGTAGATAGCTTACATGTTGGTATAGGGATTAAACATTATTTAATTAATAAAGTACTGCAAGAGTAAATCACAGTGCTGAAAGAATCAAAATTATTTCCTGAGAAACTTCCTAAAACAATAAAATACCCATCCTCGTTTAGTAACTGTTCATGAGACAGAGCCAAATTTAATGTAGTTACTCTTTGAAAAGCTTTTGCTATTGTTACAAGCTATTTGTTGAATATCTTTTTAAAGATTCTTATCTTATCTTGAAGTGTTGCCCGTTTTACTCACTAGACTGAAAGTCTGTCCCCTCTAATGTCCGTGCAAGTTTGCTAATTATGAGGAGCAACAGTCTCTGTGAGGCTGTGGTGTTCTCCTCATGAGGTGTGGAAACTCGCTTGTCATATGAACAATAGTGAAGAGTGATGATCTAGAAGTGAAGTGGCTAATTATGAAGTGCCTAAAAATGTATGCAAGGTAGGGAATCTTGAAAGTCTACTTTTCCTCTAGTATTTATTATAGTTTAGATTGGGTTGATCTTTTAATTTATTTTCCCAAAAAAAAAAATCAGGTCCAAATCTACCTCATGTGGGATGTCACTGATGACCACAAGTCAATCCTCTGTGAATAAGACTGGACTACAGGGGACTTGCTGCTGGCTCTCATATCTTGTTGATTTTTTGTTGGAAAAGGTCAATTTTACGTTGCAGTATTCTTAGAGCAGTGAAGCCTGATGTACGGGGAGGATCGTTTGAGGGATGCCAATGAATGCACTGGATAGCCAGGCCACCATCCCCATGGAGCACGAGGCTGTGTGGGTGCCCACCTTGTGCTGCCCCCACCTTTCACTCTCTGAACTGTGCCCTGGTCCAGCGCTTCTCCCACTTCTCACTCTACTTTCCACCAGGGACAGTTGAAACCAGTGCCTAAATTGCCTAAATGAGTTTCCTATGCGCTGCCATTCATTTTTACTGGTTACCTTTTATCTGGTGTCTCTCATAGTTTTCACTTGATTTGATCCTTCTGATCAAATACGCCATTCCTTATTAGCACTTTCTGAAGTGCATCTTGTACCTCCAGTGAGCTGAGGTAATTTAAATTACACAGCTGCAGTAATTACACTTCCTATTTTTCAGGTCTCCGTTTTGGCCTGTATACTGCCCTTTCCAAGTGCTTGGCCACATTCTAGTCCTGGGCAATAGTGCCCTAGCATCCCTGGCATAAGAATCTCCTTTAGATGTCTCAGTAAAAACATCTTGTGAAAAAAAAAATAGTGTATTCTTTCTTTGTGACTTCATAGCATGAAATAAGTAAAATGGGCTAGTTTGTAGATTGTATTTCCTCTGCCATGTGTATTTATATTTTGTGTACATTTTCCTTCTTTTTTGTATGCTTGCGACAGTCTGTTAGTGTGAGAAAATAATATTCTTTAGAAGAGGAGTATAAAGAGAGATTTCACATATTAAGACCTCCAGTGTGTCTTCCCATATAGTTTGGTATGCAGCAATATCCAAGTATGTTGCAGCTAATGCTTAAATGTAAAAGTCTTTAGAACTACGATCTGATCCCAGCTCTACTATTGTCTCTATGCATTACCCCACTTATATATACTTTAAGATTTTGGAAGCTATGCAGTCTTACAAAAAGAAAAAAAAAAGGCAGATTTCTAAGGCATTTATCTAAGAGGCCTTTAATTCATTTTCCTTCTTAAAACAGAATCTGTAATAGATATTGCAATAGTTTTAGGACTTTCATGTTATTTGAACAAGGTTTTTGGCACTGTGAAGTTGGTAATGGTGTGTTATAACAGAAAAAAACAAGATTTACAACTTGATAAGATCATTGAGAGATATTCACACCACCTACTTGGAGAGTATATGGGCACAGCTGCCTTTTTTCGTTGACTGGACTTACGCAGAACTTGGATTCTCCATCTCGATCTCCTAAATCACAGCAGAGCCTGGTGGCTAGTAAGTCCAAAGTAAATGGTGTGAATTTTCTCTGAACTCTTCTTGTGGTGCCTTTACAAGTTCCAAGTAGCAAACATGCCTTCGAATGCTAATTTTTGAGCCAAGTTTGCAAGTGCAACTCTAACAAACAAATCACAGTCATCTTTCTTTGCAGTTAGAACCCAGGCTCTCAACAATGGTCCCACTGTACTCTCTGAAGACGGGAAGAGATTATGAGATAAGAGTTCGATCAAGACAACGGACTTCTGAAAAATTCGGGGAGTTCAGTGAAATTCTTTATGTATCTTTTTCTCAAGCAAGTCTTGAACTTGTTCATTGTCCTGAAGGTAAAGAAGCAAAAAGTAGCAAAGTGTTTTTATAAGCATTGCTGTGCTTTTTGTCTTTCTATTTATTTATTTATTTATTCTTTCCTTTTATGTTTTATACCTGAATATATTGGTAATTCAGCCTATTAAGTGAAATTCACTTGATGAGATTGAGAATGTATAAGCTTCATATATGTGTTCAGAAATAAACTCAGGAAAAAATCACAGCTCTTCAGAGAGCAAAAATATGGATAACTTCAAAAATCAGAAACAATAACTGCTGTTGCCCCCACCATAGAGTCGAAAATAACAACAGTGAAATCACACTTCATTGTGTAAACTGATCACTTCAAAAGTGAGGCAGAGGATTGTCCCTTCCATACAACTGACTGAGTCTGTTATCAGAACTGCGCTCTGCTTTCCCGATGTGCCTGCAACTAGCAAGGACAGAGTTTGCCTCCTTCGTGCTTGTACTTGCTTTTAAAGTGCTATTAAAAAAAAGATAGAAGAAGAAACGACTCCTGGCCACTACCTTTGCTCTGTTAAAAGAATGAGGAAGTGCCTTATCCTAAAGAATTTTCAGGTCTGAGGTATCAAACCAGCTCTTCAAAATATGATCTCTTTAGCACGTTCTTTTAACAGACTTTGTTTTTTAGAATATTAGTGGAAGTGCTAAATAAAACCAAACATAACTCTTATCTTTCAAAATCTTGCTAGATTCCTCCTTTTTTTAGCTTTTTATATTAATATTTTTATTCCTATTTTATATGAACCCCTGGCATGGCAAGGGGTTACTGTTTCTCCTTTATCAAAATTGGGAACAATCTCACATAGGCCTATCTGCATAAAAGATTTCCAGTCAAAATATAACCTATGAACAGAGAGCTAGAACCAATGCCTGAAAGTATTTTTTTTTCAAAGGCCATATATTTATATTCATATATAGAACTCCATCCAGTATTTCTTCGCCACAAAAATAAGTGAAGTTTTATGGAAAACTTAACACTGGGAACAAATGAGAATAATCTAAGACTATAGCCAGAATAATTTATTTTCTCTGCTTTGTGTTTTCTACAGTGCCAGCTTGAGTATGATGTAATTGTCAGTGTTTAAGAGAAAAAACATTTATCAGCATTATTCTTCATTCCTACCAAACCGCTTTTATCAGTCACCTATGTTTTCTCCTTGTAATAATATGCAATGTAAATGAGGAAAAGAAAGAAGAATTTTTTTTTTTTTGCATTTGACACTGCTCACAACATAAAATTAATAGTCCACCATTGAAAGAGTAGCGTTATGATTTTTGACACAGCCATGTTTTAGCTTCTGGGAGAGAGGGATGGTTTGCCTATGATTTTGTAGTTACACACTGTAAATAGTGTTCACTTCGTGTTGGCCGACAGAAGCAGTAACATGGTCTGCAGCGTTACATGGTGTCACAACTACTAGCACATTCAAAGCAGGCAGATTATTCCTCTCATGACTGTTTTTGCTTCTTATGTTGTTTCTGCTAGGATTTTGTTTACATTAAAAACTCAGTCTGTTTCTGCAAGGATCCAAATAGACTCACAAATGCAATATGGAAACCATTGAGACTGCTTATTACAAAACTTTTACATTTAAGTAACCAGAAATTCCCTTATTGTTTTTTATAGCTTTGGATTCCTTGGGCAGCAGAAGAAAAGGTTAAAATTAAACATGCAACAGAGGCGCAGATTCCCACTAATAAATTTTTGTTCTATTGTTACAGAAATTGAGTTTCCCTGGTTCTTAGTTGTCATCTTTGGAGCATGTGGGCTGGCTGTAACAGGGATCTTAGTCCTGTTGTCTAAACAACCAAGGTGGGCAGTTTTCATCTATCAGGTTTTCTTTACTTGCAGTTTAAAAAATAGGCTGTTTTTTTCTCTTTTTTTTAATTTGGGGGACTAAAAGCTATTTGGGGGGTTGTTTCCCATCCTCTTAAGCTACATGGATGCTGGCATTTATAAGCACTGGGCCTTGAGCAGTGAGAGTCTGAGAAACAGCTCCTGTTCCCTTTTGATTGCAGAACATCGTATAGCACAGTATTTATTTGGCTATTTTACTGAAGGCTTTGAATGGGATTAGGTTTTTAGTCTGTTGAAGTTTTGTAAATATTGTTTTACCCGCTTTTGTTCAAAAATTTCACCAAGCATATGTCAATATGTTTCTTGTTAG